GGCGTAGATAATTCGAGCCTTACATGGGTGCCCGTGCGTCTCTATGGTCCGGCACATGGCGGTCAAGACCCTCCCTCTTTCGCTGCTGACGAGGTGTATCCTTTGTGAGTACAATCGTATCTCTTCGATCGAAGCTGCATACTGATTTCTCCCAGGCGTTGGGAGGTCCCTTTGGAGGCTGTGTATCTGGACGATGAGAAACTTCCCGATACCAATCTTACAGGGGATGTGAATGCGAAGGGTTTGTCTGCTCTCATTGATTCGGTTAGTCACTTCATCTATCTCAGATTGGTTGACCTGACATCTCCTTGCAGGGTAACTCTCTTCTCCGAGGTCCCGAAGACGTCGTCGACCACGCTCTCCGAATGATCTCTACCCAGTTCGCTGCAGACCCATCTGCCGACCCTACCTTCCCTTGCTCAACTCCTCACAGCCTCTCCTTCCAAATCGGCGGGCAGATGTTCCCAATCGACCCCCGGGACTTCGTCTCACGCGGAGACGCGACCAACTGCACCGCGCGTCTCATACCAACCGACGCCCCTCACCGTGCTCATCTGCACAGCTGGAGTCTCGGTGCACCGTTCTTCAGGTCAAACCTTGTCGCGTTCTACTTCGGGAACCTCACGCATCCATCGGTTGATCCGCCCCGCATTGGGTTCCTCAATACCGTCCCATCTAATGCAGGCCAATTACTTCGGGACGCTGTTCAGAACGCCACAGCGAACGGCGGGCGTTTCCCATGTAAATTCCTCTCTTATAACCTGCGTCATATACTCGGATACTGATTGATATTCGTTGCAGCGACCTTGGAGGCAGCCCCGCCAGTGATGGCGACTATCCACCTCCCTGCGACCCCTATGACCACAACACCACCTCCGGCTCCCACCGTGCACACTCAACTTCGACTCGGACTCGCTACTGGCTCGACGCCAAGCCCGAGACAAGCCAGCGCTGCTTCTTCTTCTTTCGCTAGCAGCGTATGGTTCAGCGTTGTACTTTCCTTTACCGTTGGCTTGTCAGTCGTGGTATTTTAATGCATACGAAATCAAATCTCAACCTGCCTCTGAGCGTAGGGCAGAGTGCTAATATTGACAGCAAACAGATCCTCTTCTCCCACTTAGCACTCAGCACTCGTGTCTCGCAGAAAAGAAGCAAGTTGGCTCGTATCATGAGCTGAGGTGTGCTGCTCGATGGCTGCACCCAAGGTGCACCCTAGAGGGGAAGGCTCTCGATCCACCTATGTCTGTCTTGGTCCAAACTAGCCAATCGTTTTACAGAAAGCGCGGCGCACGAACCGTGCCATTTCGTCTTCACGAACAGGTTCACACGAAAGAAATGTAGCGTGTGCATAGGATAATTGGAATTATGAGGGCAGATACAAATACATTTGGGGTTACACTTCAGCAGATATTCCTACAACCTGATATCAAACACGGGGATAGAACGGTCGGTTACGACGTGAAGAGCGAATGACTTCAGTAGTCAGTGCCGTAAGAGTCACCGGTCTGTCAAAAGGAATATCAGCCTGAGTACGAAAGATGTAGGACGGAGATGTAAGAACGAACCTTGCGCTCCTGTCCGCGCTCGACCATATCTTGACGTCCAGCGACCTTTCCGGTAGCTTTCTCGAGGTTACCTGGGTCATCAAAGTCAGACTCGACACGGAGAACGGAACGAGATCTATCACGCACCCTTCAACTTGTCACCGAAAGAAGGCTTCCCACCAGAGCGGCCGGTGTTTCCACCAGCACCCTGTCCTGAGGACCCGTACTGGTCACCGGAATCATCCCAATCCTGGTTGCGTCCACCGCGTCCACCAGCACCTCCCTGGCCGCCGAATCCAGCACCGGCACCGGCACCGGAGGTACCGCCAGAGTAGGCGTTGCCGCCAGTGGTGTTGTCATCGTCGTCCCACTGGTTGCCTCCCGCGCCAGCACCAGCGCCGGTGGTGGATCCGAACCCACCAGCGGGGCCTGCACCGGGGACGTTGACATCTTGGGTGTCGCCGCCGTAGCCCCCAGCGTTGCCGAGGCCACTCTGGCGCTGTTGGAAGCCCTGGTCGTCTTGGCCTTGAAAGCCTTGGCCGGAGCGTCCGGTGGAGGTGTTGTCGCGATCAGAGGACCAATTGTTGCCCTGGTTGTTGAAGTTGGCATTGGAGTCGGTCTCCTTGAACGTGGGGTGCTGCATGGGGTCGTCAAAGTTGTCTGCTGAGTTACATGTCAGTTGAGAGGCTACGAGCTAAGACAGACGAGGAAATGCTCACCTCTGGCACCACGCTGACCGCCACGGCGACCGCCGGTGTTTCCACCGAACTGGTCGTTGTCGTTATAGTTCTGGTTGTCGAAGTTGTTGGTGTTGTTGTTATCGTAAGACATGATGATGAAGTTAGAGAATGTGAGGGTGAATTTTCGTCTGGTCGTTCAGGGGGTCGTTACGATGGATGAGATGGTTTGGTAGAGGGCCAACCAGAGCCCGGGTAAGGTTATATAGAACGAGGATGGATACTCATGACGAGGTGTGGCGCAAATCCAAAGTTATGACGAGGTTGGTGCGTAGGCGTTCGAGATTGCGAATGTTTGCTATTTGCGTGCTCAGTCTCCTGTGTCGTTGACATATGGACTCGGCGAGGCCTGAGCAGCTGGTGCCGTTGTGGTGCGCAATGGCGTTCATGCTCGATCGGGCGGTACGTGATCCGGGATGATGACGTCGGTGTCCCCATTTATGGATCCCGCTCCTTCCGCCCCGAGTACCTGTTTGTGCAAAATGATCAGTATCAAGTTGTATGTGAAGTGTTTTGTTTCACAAGCTCACCGTAATAGCGATCAAGTATCACCCAAACAGTATCATGAAATAGCAGTAATCAATGATAGTCGCGTTCGTATGCTATCAGTACAACACGCAGCCAACCGTAACTTACAAGTTAGCCTTCCGAATTTCATTCTTCGTCTCCAGCTGCTCCTCGCTATCCCACAAACTCCAAATCTGACCCACTTCAGGTCCAAGTCCCTGCTTCCCAATCCGCTTGTACTCCACCTTGACCTTCTCAGCACCATACAACCGCTCGAGACGCACCCAACTCTGTCCATCTCGCATCAACGCAGCCCACGCTTCGGCTTGCATCTCGGCGATCTGAGGCACTGTCAGCGAGTTGGCGCGCCGGTGTGCGAGCCATTCCACGGTGAAGAACGTTTCCAGCTCGAGCGTGTCTTCCTTCTTTGACGTTCCTGGTGTGCTCGACGTGCCCTCGGGGAGCTTCATGAGGTTGACAGACTCGGCTTGGGCGGAGGCGGATGGCGAGAGGGTAGTCAAGCCGAGCATGACGGCCGAGACGAGCTTCTCTTCTGCCTGAGCCTGGACGAAGTGCTGGTAGACCTTCTGGTTGAGCTCGTCGTTCCCCGACACGTCCAAGTACACCCACTTCCCCTCTCCCTTCACATCCACCTCCCCACTCTCCCTGAACGTCCCATATTCCAGCACCGAGTCATACAACCCCAACCCCTTCGTGAACCCGACGTTCTTGCTCGACGTCAACCCCACCACTTTCACTTTGCCAGCGAGTCCTCTCGCCTTGGGGTCATTCGCGACGCGTCGTTTGATGCAGTACGCGAGGGCGAACGCGGTCTTGGCGGAGGCGGAGGAGATGAGGAAGTTCGTGGCGCCGCGGTAATGTTCGGAGAAGCCGTGGAAGAGCCAGTCTTCGCACCAGAAGGAGGTCCAGAAGAGGGGGCGGTAGAGCATGGTGAGATCTTCTTTGACTGGAGAAGCGTCGTAGAGAGGGTCCCCAGCGCAGCGGATGACTTGGTTGTATGGTCGTCGGTCTATGAGAATGAATCATATACTGGTCTGAGCCTATGATTGTGAGGAGAGTAAGAGAACTGCGTACCTGCTGGGAGGTGCGGCCTCGGAACCAAGAAACTGTACCCATTGACGCTACCCGGGTGGACGCCCACCACGACATACCGCGCCGGCGCAAAGTACCCATACACCCTCTCTCCCACTCGGATCGCTTTCGCCGTCGAGTCCACCACCGTCCCGAACCCCCACACCGGGATCATCCCATACTGCTTCGGCGAGATCGTGTCTGTCTCTGGCGCATCGTGGAATTCGAAGTATCTACCAGTCCAAGTCAGATTGGGTGGCTGTGAGATAAGGCTGAGAACGAACCGGAAGTTAGGTGCTTCACCCAGAGCTTGGTAGGTGACGTTGTTGGCAGAGAACCCGAAGCGGTCGACGCGGATGACGATGTGGTTCGAGAGGATGTTAGAGGGTTTGGGTGTTATGGCAATGGTGGGTTGGCTTGGGTCTAGACCGGAGGATGCGCGGGGTACGACGAGGGTTACGTTTTGCGCTGCTGACATGGTTGTGGTCTTTTTGTCTACCGAGAGCAGCGAGGCCTTGGGAGGTCAAGACGATGGTGGTGTGGGTGTACGAATGAGAGGAGTAGTGGTCGCTGAAAAAAATCAATCACGAAGCCGGGAACGCTGGGGACAGTTTATAAACGAATCATATGAAACGTCCGGCCTGACTGGAACCGTTTTCGTAAACCCGTGCTCAAATGAAAGAACGGGGATCTGAGGTGCACATGTAGACGTCGGGCAGGATCGGTCTGTTCAAACCACCAATCAGACAGAGTTCCTGGAAACGACGAGATGGTGGAATTAAGGTGCAGGCGGACATGTTCATAGGTATAAGAGGCTTACATTGACAAGCACGTTTGCATCAAAATGCACGTAGCAGACGAGGTTCAGTGCTCGTACTCCTTAGGTACAGTGTGAGGGAACAGTGAGAACATGGATTCGAAACGAGACTGGAACGAGGACGTTCGGCACCGTAACTTCCGGACTTGAATGAGTTCGAAATCACTCGCAGCCAGCCGAGGATACTTCCTGTACTTACACGTAGTCTCAATGTCATGCCATGGAAGCCCTTTCTTCCTGTCATGCCGCATCGTTCGCCCGACGTTGCTTTCGCTTGCTGTTGCTGGCGACAAAAGAAAGCTATGGACGTTGAGGGGTTTGAACCCTCGACCTCATGCAGTCGTATCACGTGACACGTAATATGCAAAGCAGGCGCGCTACCACTGTGCCAAACGCCCCTATAAATTAAACAAAACTATTGATATTAATAATAACTGTAGAAATCTCTTACATATCGCTGTGATCTCCAGCAATCACGCGCATCTGGCGGCTATCAACGTGCTCCTGAACTTCCAGCCAGCAAGTCCATCCCCATCATCCAACCGGTATGTGCAAGTCTGTGCATCCTCTCGCGCTCGCCATGGGCTCTGATTCGTTGTGTACGTGCTCTCGCAGTCTTCTGACGCAGCTCGTTCTCATCGTCATATCCTCAGATTCGCCCTACCCCATGCTAACCACTTCGTCAGGCGGATCCTCGTGTACATCCGCAGCTTCATCATCCGCAGCGCGCAGTCTGATTCCACTTGGCGAGTGTCTGCGTAGACTGTGCATATTGATGAACGCTAAACAAATTGTCCTACAGACACAACATAAATTGTAGTGAGAGAAGCACATCGTTGCCGTCACTCTTCCCCAGTTCGTCAATGGCCTCCTATAAGACTCCCCAAGCAGGCTGGGCTAACGCTCTCGTAGGCACCCCTCCTTCCCAACCTCCCTACGTCCCCTACAGGGACTCCGAGAAAGGCCAAGAGTCACCCCTTCTCGCTGCTGTGCCAAGCTACGAGTCGGTCAACACCGCCAATCTGGCTGCTGCACCACTCCCGCAGGCGGCCCCACCTAGGAGGTCCCGCGTCGACAAGTTCTGGACCCGAGTAGGTTACTGCCTCGCATTGACGCTCGTTTGCGTCTTCCTCGCTCCTAGGGTTTACCACCGTGTTCAAAACGCTGTTGTGAGTAGAGATGTCCACGTCCTTCTCGTTCAAGAAGGCTGAACAAACTTGTCTTAAGTCTTACGGTGAGCATTCCGGCATCATGCACGGATTTCCTGGAGCAGCAAGCGATCACCCCGAGTGCGTCGAGAATGCTCGTTGGAGTAACCACGACGAAGAACTCGAACATCACCACGGCGCCGACGTTTACCCTCACGACTTCCGCCATTTGGTGAAGACCTCTTTTAACCTCCCTCTCAACTCCGAGCTCCTCTACTTCCTCGCCCACGGTACTCTGTCTCATGGTGCCATCGAGATCATCGATGATGGGGAGAACGGAGATGACAAGGTCGTCGTTGATGTTTCGCTCCTGTATATCCACGACGTCGCTTTGGAAAAGGTTGAGGTCTGTCGCTTGCACCGTGGTTCGTCTGGCAACGGTGTCGGCATCTTCGTGAGTACGGTCCCTGCATCAACTAGTCGATATACTGACCTAGGTGTCGTAGTCACCTCACTCTCTACCTCCCCATCATCACCACGACGAGTATCGTACTCACTTCTCCGTCACTGTCCATCTTCCGAACGGCGCGGGCAACCGCCATTTCTACGAGGCATTCGAGACCGACATGCCTATCTTCGTTCATCACGTCGGTGACCTAGATGAAAGCGCCGCGTTTGGAAAGATCAACTTCAAAACATCCAATTCTCCCATTCATGTCCAGGTGAGATCTCAGGTGGTCTTCATACGATCAATGTTCTCACTATGTGTTGGCAGTCGTTGACCACTGAAGTCGGGCGCGTCCAAACCTCTAACAGTCCCATCGATGGAAAGATCGCGGCATCCAAGGCCTTGGATCTTCATTCCAGCAACGGCCCTCTGAAGGTGGACATCACCCTTTCCAACAAGGACGGCGCTGCGTCGAAGCTCGTTCTTCACACCACCAACAGGTATGTCTTTTCGTCCCTTCGAATTCACTTTCTCTAACGGCCGTTTCGTCAGCCCCATTCGCTCCGGGATCACCCTCGTTAGCCTCAAAGAAGATGGAAACGGTGGTTCATTCGACATCAATGCCAGCTCTTCCAACGGTCCCGTCGATCTCATTTTCCCCTCTGCCCCCACCGATTCCACGCTCAAGCTGGACACCCACACCTCCAACTCGCCGATCCGCGTCACTCTCCACAAGAGCTACGAAGGCTCTTACGACATGCAGACTTCCCGCTGGAGCCAGCCTACCCTCAACTATGACGAGGGCGTGGAGGATCCTGCCGGACGTGGTCGTCGCCGCGTTGTGGAGACGCACACGTATGGGAAGGGCCGTGCTAGCGGAAACGTGAAGTGGACAGGAGGCGACGCTAATGCGAGGGAGACTGGCAGTGTCAAGCTGTCTACTTCCAACGCTGGTCTTCACTTGAACCTTTGAAGGATTTTCATCATGGATGGTTGTACGTACGGAAAGGTGTAGGAAGTGACACTGAATTTCACTTAGCAGTATGCTTCATTGTATTCTATTTATCACGCCGGTAGTTCGACATTGTATCTAGTCGTCGGTGTCTCTTTTGAGCCTACGTCACCGAAAAGAGTGGCGAAGCTGTGTGGATTGCCGAGAGGACACCGGTCGTTTGAAACGGACATCGCCACCATCGACACCGCATGGTCCCTAGAAGCAGTCCTAGAGCGGGGGCGGCGGTGGTCGCACGCGGCGATCTCGCTAGGTAAAAGCGATTCCATAAAGAGTACTCCCCGTTACGGCGAATAACTTAACCAGCCGGGTGCTCTACAATACAACTGTCGTGATGTTCGTGGACGAGGCCTGAGGATCCGAAGCAATCAGCGAATGTTTACAAAAGACTCAAGTCGCAACTCACATAGAATACAGAATTTCGACAAGCCGAGAAAATCATGGGAAGCAGACACTGACACAGAAGAGATCCTTTCTCGTATCACATTCGAGCAGTCTCCGCTTCCGACTGAATTACCAACGAAATGCTTTCCACCGCATGCGCGATGGCAGCTCGTCGCGGAGCCGTAGGAGGTATGACCTCCAATGCGGCATTGTAAACGTCCTTGATCAGGGCCAACATCATCTTCTCGCCACTGGCGTGCGTGCGTTTGTTGTCCTGGGAGCAGTTGACTGCTTTGTAGGTGAGGAGTTCGCGAGAGATAGTCAAGGCAGGCTCTATGAATGCCCAAAGCCATATGCGGCCGCTGGTGACGAGGTAGTCTGCTGCATCGATGATCCTCGTCTGCATGAACGTGAGTGAGGGCGAGACAAGAGGGAGCGGGTGTCACTTACAACAGCGACGAAAAATGAGGTCTTCTTGATCGAACATAATCGATCCATTGTCTCAAACTTGAGCGACATCCCGTAATTGATCAGATGCAATACCCTCGACGCTGCGTCTCGCACTTTCTGATCGTCCGTCTCTGCAGCGTTATCATCCACGGTCAGCTGCAGCAGCGCAGCATGTGCCCAAGGGTTCTTCTTGATCCATTCGTTCACCCTCTGGCATAGCGGGAGCGTGAGGTTGTTGAACCACGCCGGGTCCTTCTCCTTGGTCACCTGGATGATCGTCTCCAGATCCAGGCACAGCTCCACGAGACTGTCGAACGCGTGCATGTCCTCGTCGAGCGTGAGTGCGGCGAGAGGAGCGGTTTCCCGGACTTGCGCCATCTCGCGGTGCGCGGCTGGCTGAGGTGACGCCGGTCTCACATGCATGTGCTGAAGGGGAGGTGCAACGGCTCCGCCGCCTTCGAGAGCTTTTCCATACAGCCATGCTAGACGTGACAACCACCGCTTGCGACCGAGCTGAAGAGGCGTCCCGTGGGGCATCTCCTCGACAATGTCTATCGCAAGTTGGAGGAATGCGGATGCCGAGCTCGTCCAACCGCTCGTGAAAACCTGGTAGAGCATCAGATACATGAGCCCGGATACAGTGAGGAAGTGGGCTCCGAGGCTGTCATCTTCGTGAATGAATCTAGACGAAACTGCGGAGAGGTACGCGGTCATGGATTGACTCTGGGCCATGTGGTAATAGTCGATGGCGGGAGGATGAGACGGAGGGGAGACGACGTTCATCAGCGCGTCCAGAGCATGTAGGAAGAAGGTCGCGTTAATGCTGTCGGAGCGTCCGGTACATGAGGCGACGAGATCAGCGGCCTCGGAGAGCGGAAGGATGGGAAGAAAAGTGTGAATGTAGCGGAGAGCGATAGGGTAAGAGGGAGAGGTAGGGTGCAATGGTGCTAGAATCCCGACGTCCTCGGTGCCAAGACAGGCCTCAATCGGTCCCTGATGAAACCCCATGTCAAGGGATGGTAGTATATTGAGATCGAGAGAAAGTGTGTGGAGGTTGGCGTGAGGGGATCCATTGAAGGAGTGTCCGGCGTGTCCGTCAAGTGCATGAAATGAATTTATGAGGTCTTGGTCTGCGAAAGCATAGCTAATGGTTGGATCTTGGCCTAGGAATCGGACGAATCAGTATATAGTCTGCAGAAAAAGCGAGTAACAAGCGGTAGAGCGTAACGTTGGGCTGCAAAGTGCGCTCGCTGATGACCGCTCGCACCGTTGAATAACCCGGCTGAAGCGTCGAAGGCTTGAAAGATATTATTCCACGCACCTGTCTGGGTAGTCACGCCGATCCAGCCAGTTGACGGTGACTGCACGGTAGAATGCGACTCCGTACATGCACCAGAATATTGGCAGATACCTTCTGAACGCGCGAAAGATGATTTCGGAGTTGTCGATGATGTCGAGGGAGACTGTCGGTCCAAACTCAAGGATCCGGTTGAGGATGAACTGGCAGTCGCTCTTGGAGAGGATGACCCTGCAGTTCTCGGTGTAGAATCTCTGCCCACCTCCCCAGAAGTCGTCGGTCGCTTGCTGGGTCTCGTCGGGGCGTCCTGAACGTGGCTGTCGCTCGATTTACGCTTCCACCCTTTGCGTGGTCCAGGCTTGTTGCGCGTCTTGGCGTAGTTGCAAGCCGCCTTATACAACGTGCAATTGCTGCAAGATGGCGTCTGCCCGTCGCAGCGAAGTTTCCTTTGACGACAGACATCGCATGCCGTAGGTGCTTTGGCTCGAATGGCGGTTGGGTTCGGTTTCTCCATGGGTGGGGCGATGCTGCGATTGCAAGAAACTGGGACTGAGAAGGCCAGAATAAGAGCCAAGAATATGAAACTGACCTACAAATAGGATCTCTTCTTCTACACCTGAGCGTCTTTGTTCGCGACGAATCGCGTGCCATGGGTTGGT